CTATCTAATATATCCTATTTGTCGATCATGTCAAATATGTCATATATGTCAGATTTGTCGATCATGTCAGATATGTCCTATATGTCAGATTTGTCAGATTTGTCGATCATCTGCGCCACGTAGGTCCTATCATATTTTATTCGTTCACAATACATATTTCCATCGAAAGCAACTCCACTTGAACTCGATGATCAATAAACTGGGTTTACTAACCTTATTCATTACTTTAAGTATGGCCGAACATTGCTGGTCTCACCTAATGAATATATTCAATAATTCAGATAATCGAGACACATTACCCTTGAATAGGCCTTTTCATTGCGCAAACTACTTCATTCACAGATTTCAATCTCTAAAGAAAGAACTCTATAAAAAATCTGATCTTACGAGATTCGGTGAGATTACCGATTTTTTTGATTGAGTTGAATTCCAGAACAAAGAAGCTGCTCACACCCATAGTTGCTATTGGACAACTAACTCGATAGAAGATATGATCTCTGCAGATGTTATATGTTTGACAGTTCTGGATCCTTTATACGAACCTGAACTTTACGCTGCAGTTATTGCAAATCAGATCCACACTTGCAACTTACATTGCCAAGGATCTCCGGCTCCAGGTCAAACTTGCAAGAAAGGATTTTCTCAACCTTTCAGTCTGACAACACATTATGAAAAAGGCAACTCCTGATATATCTACAAATGCCTAACTCAAGCCGATTCGTGGGTTGTCCCGTATCATCCTCCGACTCTATTACTATAGGATGCACATATGAACTGTTAATATATAATTGACAAAGATTTCGCTATATACATATCGAAATACATTGTGAAGACAGAACCTTCATACATATTTAATATCTACGAAAATGATCTCCTGAAGCAGCACATCATCGCACGCAAGTTGAGTTTCATAGAGCTTATGTTCTTACTACTAGGAAATACGATCTGTAACTCATCCACGAATGTCCAATTCCTCACCACTGATCCTCCTCCTATGAGAACACAGGCAATACTTTCCGCTTACATCATGTGCGAAGACGACAACAACCTATATTACGACAATACTATCACCAAATATTTATCGCGTCCTCACTCCCCCAAATTCGAACCCCTAAAATATGACGAATACTTTCAAAGATATTTGATTTCTCCATCCAGACCTCTTAACACCTCTCGACAAATCCACCGAGACGACCTATCCAACTACGTCGTTAAACAATCGAAGGATATCTTAACCAGGAACCATTTTCTCAATATAGAAGATGGAGAATTGTACTTTTATCAACGTTTGCTGTTGACCGTTCTCGCGAGAAATGAGAACAATTACAAGATTCAACAAGATAGAACTTATCGCAAAAAGTTCCTCCAATTATTCCCCGATTTCCTATACTAACTCCAAAATCAAACTCATAATCAACATCAATTATGAATGATTCGATTAAATAATCAATTCGCTGAGATGTTGGATCATTTGTTAAATTCTCTAACCCCCCAACTTCCATTTAACCTTCACCGCATAATACAAATTCATATAGAAGATTTAAAGATACTCCCTCACATCTATCTGATGACAGCTATGCTCGAATTACTACCAGACTAATATCAAACCTTATTCACGATTACTACCTACATGGGTCCCAATGATGGAGTCAAATGGCCTTATTTCTTCATTACAGGCTCAGGGGAACCAGAAAATCTTTCATCGTTAATATGATAATCAACATGCTAAAAAGACGATCATCAATTTACTTCTTACTTGTACCTATAGGAGTGGCAGCCCAAAATATTGAAGGGCAAACAATTCACTCAGTTTTGCGCATCACTTCGACCAGTGGGACCTTTCGTACACATGCTTACGCCGATACTGAACTAAACAATCAACTAAAAAATATCAACACTCTCGTTATCAATGAAGCATCCATGATCTCTGCAGACTCTTCGATTTCATCTCTAACACTTTCGTGAACCTCCACAACAACTCCATTCCTTTTGGTAGTATAAACGTCATCATCGCAGGTGACCTAACATAACTCCCTCCAATAACTAGTCTACATATCTTCCGCTCAATAGCTTGGCCTTTATTCTATCTGTTGTTCCTAAGAAATCCACAATGTCAACAGAACGATCCCATATTCTACGAAATGTTGCAAAATATTTGAATAGGTTCTATATCTACTGAAACTTGGAATACATTAGATCAACATCATGCTGAATTCTTCACTAGATCCTCAATCCAAAACCAACTCAACATCACCACATCATCGGTTTCAGAAAAATGGTACACCAGATCAATACAATGATCTGTAATACTCTTCCAGTTTCAGATGGTCAATTTATTATGTCTAAAGCAATTGATGTCATAGATTCTGTTAGGTGGAAATCATCTTTTTCTGATCATCTTTTTAAATCGAAGACAAATCTCCCTTCTTGCGTTCATCTTCAACTGGGCGCTCGAGTGATGTATCTGAATAATATGATAATTGATCAAGGAATATGTAACAGTTCAATAGGAGTAATCACTGATGTTGATACTAACGAAGATTCAGTACAGGTTGCATTTTCTATAAGAGGTTTAATAGTCGATATAGTTATCTACAAGCAGACCCACTACTTTCAACTAAATGGATACAACGGTCAATGTACCCAGTTCCCCTTGCAAAATTCATTCGCTCTTACCATTCATAAAATGCAAAGCTTAACCCTTCTGAGGGTAACTCTTGCCTTAGATGGAAATATATTTTCTCCCGGTCAAGCATACGTCGCTCTTAGTAGATGTCCCGTCTGGAATAATGTAGACATATTACATCTTAATTGTTTCGCATTCATGGTTGATAATGACGTTATAAGTTATAAACGAGTATAAAAGGTTAGAAGACATCTCTAACAGCAGGCCCTAACGTTTTCTATAAATCAAATATCCTTTACGAACAAATTTAAAAAGATTAAAAAGATCCGACATAGCGTCGTTACATGTATCAATGCATGCATTATTATCACATTTTAAGATCCACTGATGATCATTTGGAAAAAAATTATTTTATTAATAAAACGTAATGTGGTTACTGGTACAAAAAAAGACTGGCTAGTTAATAATATTAAACCTTATTATGATAATTGTAAAATAAAAAAAAATCATTTTAATTTTCACATTTCAGGCATTTAAGAAAATAATAAATAATTAATATAATCATTATAATTCTATATATAAACAATGTAAATAGAATGAAAAACCCATTTTATAATTCAAGAAATACCATTTTTATACGTTCTAATAAATTCTCTGTTACTACCATATTATGTGTTACCTCGTCTATATTACTTAAATCATCACCATCCGCATTTTCAATATTCTCATCGATGGATTCATTTTCAACCTTTTCTTCCTTCATTAAACTTGTTATCAATGCATTAACGTTATTCTTAACCTCGTCCTAAAGATAATCTAAATATATAAAACATTTAAACTGACTCTTTTGCAAGCAAAGACTATGGTAACCATGGTCACATGCCAGAATTTTGCCATCATGCAAACTGCCATCATGGGAAATACCATCACAATACATATAATCACATAGAATAGCAGTATTGGACTTTTTAAGAGTAACAAAGCCCCTTAGAAGATAACAATCAGTTACCTCATAACCTAATGAAGGGATTTTGTACGTGTTAATGCCATTAGATGAAGATTTAACAATTAAAGGATACTGATCACACACTTGATATATTTTTGTGAATAAATCTAAAAGCAATATAACATATTTCTTTGAAAGCATATGCAATTGCTTTGGTGTATATGGATATTTCACAGAATTCACAAAATATTGCCGAAAAACATTATCTTCTCGATGCTGAAAAATAAAGTGTGTCTCCTTTTGTAATTGTTCAGCTGTGGAAAACTTAGCGATACGTCATCGAATAATGCTGTGAACAATTTCTATAGGACTATCACTTAGCAAAGCGAGATGATTAGTGACCATGCTAATCATCATTTGATTAGTCTCTATCCAATAAAAAACATCAGAGAAAAACATTAAAGAAGCTCGTTTATAATTTCTTTGATCAAATTGAAGAAAAAGATCGCTCTAACAGTGCATACAAGCTTCTTCATAAGCCAGCCAATTGCCTTCTCAATGGTGCACTGCATAAACGTTGAGAACTAAGGGAATTAAATTGCTAAAAATATCAGTTAAATACAAAAATTCAATGTTCTTGCATGTATGAACAAATTTCGAATAAACAGCATCAACGACATCAAGCCACACCACGCATATAACGTGAAGAATTAAATCAATTCTCCATGGTCGTGGCTTCTTACCAAGTTCCTTACGTGATTCGAATATACTCTTATAAATGTCATTGAATAAAAATGAATTTTTCAAAAAAACGAGCTCCTGGCCATTTAAAGATACGTGAAGAGGACCCATAATGGGCAGAAATGACGTAACAAGTGGAGGAATGACTTTGTTGTTGATGAGAAGCTGTTGTATAATAGCTTTGCGAATAAAGAGCTGATCAAGCCAATCTGCAATGACAGGAATTATATGATTGAAAAAATATACTTGTATCGGTTCTTGCTTATGCATGATTTTAAGAACTTTCGTATATTCTTCCAAACCTTTTAAATTGCTTTCAACAAAATCAACGAGGATGGCATTCTGTATATACCTCTCACCTTTTTTTCCGCTAACCTATTATTGTAACTATGTAATGTTGGCCTATCTATGACCTCATCATCAGTGCATTCTTTTCTACATAGTCTCACATACGACTACAATTATAATAGAAAATTCTAAGGTTTACAATAAATCGCTCTTTGAGATACCTTTCAATCAGTTCATTATTAATGACCTTTGGATTGATTACTTCATCACATCATATTGCAGGCGTGAAACATGGATTTGCTATTATTGTTGCTATGTGCACTGCCCAAGATATGCTCTTAGTATCAGGTTTCTTTTGAACGTAGATGTTGTGATAATCATCGACGTTCAATACAAAAGCATTTTCCGAATATTTTGTGAGAGCATTCTCTATGTATTTTCCGTATGCATCTGATACTCTTTTTTCTATGATCTACCGCTCTTGCCGTTATAGTCATGCCAAGATTTGCCATCATATTCAGGCCTTCGTTACTCATATCTACTGAATCTAAATAGTATGTGATATCAAATTTAAAAGAGTTAATTTTTGTATTATTTAATGAAGCAAAAATCTAGCATATGAACACCATTAATTTCTTCATACGATCCATCGTTTGTTCATTATGTTTGAGTGGCCGAGCTGCTAAATAAAGTTGATTAAAGAAATCACTTAGGTTCAGTTCAATGTCTTGAAATAATTCTCGCATTTCATTAAATGCATATATGTGATCATTCTTCTTCAAGTGTTTTCTGTCATATAGAATTTTTGCCATCTTATTGATGGCTCTAGTAAGATCAATCATACTTACCCCTTCCTCTATTTCTTTCTCAGTTGTGACTTTAACTCGTTTAGGACCACTTTTTAATAGATTCTCTACAAAATGCATATAGCAAGTATTACATAAAACAACACCTTCTACCCACATAAACTTCACTAAATTGTTGCTTTCAGCTTCTTTCCATTTTTTCCATTCAATGAACAGAATTTGGTCGATTCAGCAGTTTTACATTCCATACAATACTTCTCTTCAGACATATTTTCACTAGGTAAATAGTAATATAAAAGCTATAGGATTCAAGAGGATTCAACAAATATTATTATGTTATATTGAGAAAGCTTCAAGTTTGTCTAATTTATTAACCCACGATTCATTGCAAGAATGTGCTATGAAAGCCTCCTGAAAAAGTACTGTAAAATGTATAAAAAAATTTTTAATAAATTGTGTAACCATTTTCCTTATATAGGACAGTCACACCTGTTCTACTAAATGTGACAGCAATATTTGGGCCAGTTTCAACGATGTAGGTTACCAATGGCTGAAAAGATCAGCGGAGACCTAGGGGTAAGGCTAACTTATACAGGATACTTGTGACCCTTAGTCTTAACGTCTCATCTAACATTACGGACTGAAAGAAAAAAAAAAAACTCTTTCTTCTTTTCAACATGACATCTAAGAGAAAAAACTCCAAACAAAGAGGTCGCCCTACATCTTCACATATTAACAAAAATATTTCTAATAATTCTAATAAAAAGACAAACCTAATGCAAACAAGAGATACTACTTCAACTCCAAATAGCTCAATAACAGTCATACCTCCAAAAATCATGGAAGTTGACCCAACTCCTTTAGATAAAGGTAAAATAAAGAGGAAGATATTGCTTCAAAAACTCTCAACATCGATAAAGCATACGACTTTTCTAAAAATTTTCTTAATGAAAATTACAAATCTCCTCAAACTTTCGATAAGCCGAAACCATCTTATCACATGTTTTTCCTTTGAACGATCTTTCTGAAAAATCGCTGCAATAGAAGGTTTCCTTTATTAATGATCTTATTTTCGATTATTATAATTCATTCACT